TAATAAAGGAAAATGCTCAACATTCCAAGGAGAATGAAAATTAAATAATTATCTAAATAAGCATTCTAATGCATACTTAAATAATGAAACAAAATACATAACCTTACAAAATATAACCTTAAAAATGAAACTATTTCTTACTATTTTTAACCATACATAATATAATACTAATAAAGTCAAATATATACTATAAATAATTTGCACAAAATTGCTAAGCTATGGCCTATTACGGTGTTTTGTCAAAAAATCGGTTTTCGTATGACTACATGGCTAAAGCTGGCCAAACCTTAAGAGATATATCAAAACGATGTCCTAGAAAATTATAGGTCCTTAAAAGGCCTATAGAAAAGTCCGCGAAAAGACGTGTCTATGTCCGAAGATACGGTCACAATAACTATTTTTATCTGCGTAACGAAAAAATTTCTTTGTCTGTCTAGGAACGCATCATGAGAAAACCACTGGACGGATTTTGATGAAATTTGGTATGGTGATAGCTGGTTATCTGGGTCAAAATTTAGGATGGACTTTTTAGTGCGGAAAAATATCTCATCTCTGACAAATCTAGGTATACTAACCGTTAAAATGTAGGGGAGAGGTGGCATGAAAGGGACATTTTTGATACTGAGGCTCTAGAAAGTGATTGAGATAATATTTGGAACTGGTTGAAGTCGAATGGGAAGCCTCCACTATTATACTACTGAAATAAAATGCACTATTTCTATTTTCTTTATTCTTAGTTATTTAATTCCGCATCTTAAAAAAATGTGTATTTTGTCAGTTTTAATAATAGCCTGTATTGAAAGGGACATAATAGTTAATGAAAGGGACAGTACATACTATCAAGGAAAATTACTTTAGACTTTACTACACATGTTCTAAAAAATATCAAGTATTTGTACAATAACTACTTAGGTATGTTTCAGAATCAAAAAAGTGTCTCGAATTATTATTATTATTCATTATTACTTTTTTATATATTATTATTTTATATATATTATATTATTGCTTTTTTGACTTCATATTTTTAGAAGATGTGTAGCAAAGTGTAAACTTACTATTTTCATCTTACAGACCAGAATTAAACACGTATATATTATTTAAACAGAAATCAACAATATCATCACCTTCAATTCTTAGACATAAAATAATTATTACCTAATACTTTCTTAATACTTTCTTATTTAAAATGTCAATTATTACCTATTAGGTATTCATATATTAAAATATTGTAGGCTGGCCTCGACTTCGAAAATATCTGATTAGGTATCTATTCTAAATAAAGCCTCCGTTTAGTTATTTTTTACATTTTAGTGCCTGGAAGTCGGGTTTTATTTAAGTTTTTATTTTTCAATTTTTGGTGTAGACGTAATGAGCAGGTAATTTGTAAGACGAAAGTTTTTTAATAACATATTCGATTAAACAATTTATTTAAAAAACATTTATTGTTGATATTTTAAAAAACCGCTCAACCGATTGCAATAAAATTTATATGGGACCGCCTGGTGATGGAAAAAAATCCAAATCGGTTTAGGTGTCTTCAAGTAATCGTTGAACATACATAAAAAAAATTCCGACGAATTGAGAACCACCTCCTTTTTGGAAGTCGGTTAAAAAAATAATAAACTTAGGTAGTTCTTCTTCATTGGAGGAATATTCGTCAGAGTTCTCGGCAGAACCAGTGGGGGTTTTAAGAGACTGTGGTCGGTCTGTCACAAAAGAAAATAAAAAAAATTCATCTTAACAGCCAATCTAACAGAGATGCCGTTCTATATTAATTCATTCACTGCATCTTCAATTTTGTGTGCATCGACACGCGTTCTCTTTTAAGGTGGCATTTTTAATCTGTAAAAATAGCAGTTGTGAAACGTCCCTAACGTCCCTAACGTTCATAACCGTTTGTTGTGTCCCTTTCATAAATATCATACCGAAATTGAAAACATAACTACGAAATTTGAAATTTTAGATTAAAATGTACTGACTTTTTGTTCTCGTATCTGTTGATCTCTAGCTGATCATAAGCAGTGGATAACGAATAAATAATTAACACGCCGCACTTGGCAAAACGTTTCGCCATTATAACAGAAAAATACTTTTCAATGTCAATAAAAACAGTTACACGACTACGCCAACTTTGAAATGACAGCAGTGTGAAGTTAATCGCGAACGAAAGCTTATCAGGACTGTCATACGACATATATAGTGTTGACCCGAAATTGTTTTTATTGTGCCAGTTATTTAAATCGTCCCTTTCAATACGTGTCCCTTTCATACCACTTCTTCCCTACCTGGAGACGAACCCGAGCGGAGCGAGGGTGAGTCGCTAGTAGTAATATATAAACACCTATGTATTTGTCTCTAGTCACCTATGTATGTATTTCAAAACACATCATTCTGCGATATTTATAATATTAAAATATAATTTTAGTTTAAACACAATATAACTCCCATTTCCCCGGAAAAAGGTAGATATTATTTAGAATTTAATATTTTTAATAATAAAAACATATCATATCATAATTCAATGGTTACGTCTAAGCGACTATTATATATATATATATATATATATATATATATATAGGTATCACTATCAAACTGTACTCTGTACTGTTAATAACAGTTCCAGGAAAATTTATGCAATTTCAGTTACACGTTAACTAATTGTTCTCGAAAGAGGCTTACCGCAGCTCTCAATACAGCTTTGAGTTGGTCTACCCAGCAGATGTTGTATTTGTTTGATACCATAATTATAATGCAAGTATATTAATGTTTATTTGGGTTTCATTTACATACTAACACACAATATTATTTTGAATCATTTTAGATAGAATTTACATATATATCGTATTTATATTAAAATATTTACCCTTTTTATGGAATTCATTTTTAAAATGTGATTATAGGCCGTTCATAAAATACGTTCGCACTTATATGATATTTCAGAACATTTGAAAAATCCTTCGACTTCTGATAAATAACGGAAGCATTTGTTTTATGTTAAAGTTTTATTATTGCAAATAATAAATATTTAAAAATATCGAAATTTGTTTGGGGGGGATCTATCATTCGTGACATATCGAGACAAAGGAGGCAGGGGTGTGTATATATATATATATTTCTAATGGCCGTTCCAATGGCAAAAAACATTGATCGTGTTAATAACTAAGTTCTCTTTTATGCGACTTAATATGATTTGTCAAAAATCGTAGTCCCTGGGCTCCTAGCCAGATCAAGTAAAGAGTTATAGAAGGTTATCGGCCACGAAAATCCCCATTAGTGAAATGGGAGAAATTTTGTAATACAAAATCCTCGCGGAACAGGCAATAGGGTGTAGAGAATCTGCGTTTTTCACACATGTACTTCCATGGCCAACGAGACCGATAAGTATATTGATAATTGTCTTGCTACAGCATATATTGTTTTACATATGACTTTGTAATATGGCAGCTTTAGTTTTGATGTACAGTCAGACTGTTTAATATAATTATTTTAATAAAGGGACAGCTCGTCGAATATTCTACCTGTAGTTATGACTTTTATAAGCCCGCACAAATTATATTTTTGAACAATATTAAATTCAAGTCAAGTTACTGTTATATTACCATACAAATAAACATACTAAAGCCATATTAGGGTATTATTAAATATTATCATAAACACGAAAAAAGTGTTTGTGTGTGTAATTCACACACGATAGAAGTGAAATTGCAAAAAAAGTAGCCTACGACAGAATGAGATGAATATAGAGGAGTAAGATCTTTGATTTGATATTATGTTGTAAGGTTTTTTTAGATATTTTAACCAAGTTTAAAAGATATTGTACATTTTATTTAACATAATATATTACAATACATATTATCCAGTATTATTTTTCACGTCCTGTGTAATGTATTCTATCTCATTCTCTCGCCGGTTTAATCCTATAATCCTGTGTTTGTCTCTTTTTAGTGTCGCATTTTCGTTTCATCGAGTTTCAAATTACATATATTCTAAAGAAGTTTCACTTCAAAACAATCGCATGGATTTAATATGTGTACAAAAACTTTATACAACAATTTCATTTTTGCTAAAGCGGTATAAATCACCAATTTGACAGGTGAAAACAAACGGAGGCTCATTATCCCCTAATCGGTGGGCAGTTGATGATACGAGCCTCTCTTCTGCACGAATATAGCCCCTACTACAAAATCCTTGGCCGAAACAATGAATAATTAATTATACCACAGTCGCGAATACGCGACAGGTGTAACTTTGCGGAAATAAATATTTTATTAATTCCGTTTTACGTATCCAATGTGAATATTGCCATGTGCCAATAGTGCTGATGTTCAACTAGTGAAGGGCTATAATAATATTAAAAGGCATTTGACTTCGATTGATTTAGCCACAGTACCTCACTATCTATTGTATCGGTGACCGCAGTAATTGAAAATCAAACCTAGCAAATATACATGTGTACGTATGTGTTTAAGACAGCACGAATATTCTCATTACGCATAGAATAATTAATACTAAGGGACATATTATCCCAACAATGGCGGAGAATCTATTTGTAAACAAACAAAAACAAATATATACAAACATGCTTATAGTACACACTAATCTATTATGTGGATATTTATACAACGACCAAACATATAACCACAGTATAAAAATCCACACAGTGGGTGATCGCCTTTGATCTTTACGAAGATCCTACCAAACGTATGGATTGTTAAAAATAAATATTCATGGTGAGCGGTTCCGAAGTTAAATCGCTGTAATGCTTACCTCGTTACAGTTATACCCATCTCGTACACTCTACAGCCGTTTCTTGGTTGTCATATAAGAGTTTAAATGACATTCAGGAGCGCCTTACTGGCGGCTGACTTTGTACAATTTCCTAGATAAGACGACTGTAAGTATGTATATGGATTAGTAGACTATACTATAGAACTACTGTATAACAAATCACATGAGAAAGGTGTTTTATTACTTTATAATAATATTTTTACTTAATACTATTGCCATGTATCGTGTTCATTGCTGGGGCTCCTCGGTGTTGTTGATCCAGAACCATTTGTAAGTGATTCATCTTTACTTTCCTCGGAATCCTTTATACTTTCAGCCGGATGTCTACAGAACGTGCAATGGCCCTTCGTAACCATTTGAATTTCATAGTCCTCCATATAGAATAACTGTAATTATAATATCTGTTAGATATCACCGCATAATTAGCACGTATTGATTAATACATTGTTATTGGAGGAGTTTAATTAGTTGTATTAATTACTATATTTCAATTATAAAGGACAGATGATGTATTTAGTAAATTATATATTAGTTTCGAAAATTAGCTTAACTCTCGGATGAACACTGTCGTCGGTTGATTTAAAATCATAAAATAATAATGAAAAAATAATGAACACTCATAATATAAATTTAAATAATTAAGCCGTTAATAAAATCCTTTATCATAATCTCGCAGTGTGTATGTGGCCTAACATATTGATACGCTTTTCCAATACCTATTCCATTATGCATCACAACTTCAATTTAATAATAGCACCATTTTAAGATCGATAGCAACCACGTAGTTGTATGAAGTACTAAATATTTAACATAATTTATTAGATATTTAAAAACATTGGAACCATTTAAGTAGTTACGTTAAATTTTAATACTTATAATACGAAATTGTAAATTAATGAAACAGAAATTAAATTCGAAGACATAACTAACTGTCTCTTAGATTGGGCGTATTAGTTAAGTGTCTATTAGTTTTTTTTAATGATTAAAGAATTTTTACGTTAACTGCCAATATTTTTGTTAAGATGTAATTACAAAATTGCTTCTCAATATTAGGAGTTCTTTATTTACTATAAGCGGCTTACCCTCGCTTCGCTCGTGTTCGCCTCTAGAAAACGAAAAAAAGAACAAAACAAATCTATCCCAAGGGAACCGTTCATTTTTTCGGGATAAAAAGTAGCCTATTGTTATTCTGATATATGAGCTATATTATTGTAAAGTTTCATTAAAATCCATTCAGTAGTTTTTGCGTGAAAGAGTAACAATAATCCATACATCCATATATCCTCACAAACTTTCGCATTTACAATATTAGTACGGTTCACTTTATTATACGATTCAGTTACAAAAAAAATTAAGCCAATCTGACAACTAAATACTTTTTATCTCGGAAAAATATACAGATCCCGAGGCATAGATTTGTTTTTATTTTTCTAGAGGCAAACCCGAGCGAAGCGGGGGTAAGCCGCTCGTAATATAATATTTATTATTTCTTTATCTACTTTCCATTGCGACAACATTTGATCATGTTATAAGTAACGGCTTACAAGACATACCCTAACTCATCTTTGGATATTTTAGGTTCTGTTGTGTTATGCTAAAAGAAATATACACTTCGATAGGTAAAAATAATACATATTGTTGACGAACGTAGATCACAAAAAGACAGTAAAGTGCACGCGTCACGCGCTGATGCCTTCCGATAGCGCTCATGACCTACCCCTATTTATAGAAGTAATAAGGAGACTATATATATAATCTCTAATCAACATATATCTGTTGATGAACTCATGCAGCTTGCAATAAATAAAAAATAATAACTTGTAACATAAGTGTATACATACATTGTGGCAGGAGGGACAAGTGGTGACGGGTAGTTCCGGGAGCATGTTCCGGTAGTACTGCGGGGACAACGGCGGCCGCTCCACCACGACCACGCACACCGGGCTCAGGTGCAGCAGCGCTGATCGACTGCACACCACCATGCCTTCCTCGTCCTATTTACGTTTTTTGTTACTACTTTTCTAGTCACCTGATTTGGCTTCGTCCAGTGCTATTCCGTAAGGACTTTTTTATTCGATAGCTGAATCCACGAACATCCTACTAATATTATAAACGCGAAAGTTTGTAACAATATATGTATGTAAGGATGTATGTTTGTTACTATTTCACGCAAAAACGACTGAATGGATTTTGGTGAAACTCTACAACAATATAGCTCAAACATTAGAATAACACATAGGCTACTTTTATATCCCGGAAAAATGTACGGTTCCCGTGGGATAGATTTGTTTTTCTAGAGACGAACTTGAGCGAAACGAGGGTGAGCCGCTAGTGGTTCATAAAGTGGTATGAAGTACAATCGCGGATTCAGCTGTCACATTATATAGAAGTTCTTACAGAATATCACTACAGTTGAACAGACACAAAACTTTTTTAAGACTAATAGAATAAGACTTATATGACACAACTCCTTTTATCTGATAAGCATCCTTCCGCCTAACAACTCATTAATTTATTAACATTATACATATATGGATACGATATCGCTCCATTTATAACAATTCATTATACATATATAGATTACGTGATATAGGAATGCGTACTAATTTACTTAACACATTAATATAAAACTAAGATACATTATCGATTTATACCTCAAAAAAATATAATTTTATTCAGTTCAACCGTTTTCACATGATACTCATTCCGCATGTAATAGAGGCTCGATAAGCTCATATTATATCCCAAATTTAAATTAATCAAAGATATTAAATGTTTAATATTTATTTACTATTAACCTCATTACAAGTTTACTAGCTTAAAGTTTTAATTAAGTCAGTTTAAAAATAAAACATCTTTTAACTAACGCAAGTATTGAAATATGTTTTTATGTAATATTTAAAATTCGAAGAAAATTTTCTCTTTGACTAGGAGCTCTTCATTAAGTAGCTTTTATGAAGTACTAAGTACTGTGTAATTTCTTACAAAGAAAACTCCTCTATGGCTTTTTTAATCAAATATAATTGCTAGATTGAGTCTTTTAATAATTTCACTTTATGAAAAATTGCATTATTAAATTTATTATTTACTTTTACAATTATAAATAATTTCCATTTAGCAAATGATTATAAAAAAGATCAACCTTCTGAACTTATATTTTTGAAGTTTGAAGTGAAGATACATATATATTTTGTCAATCATTTTAAGTGCCCAAATTATCTAAACACGTTACTTTTTCATTTTTGAAACCACATTATCATGCAAACGTACCGTGCGCGTTGCTTGTTCAATCAACTAAACTATGTTTTTACAGCCTTTGAATAAATCGCATTTCCAGTACATATTTAATACTTTCATATTTATCTTGCTTCACGATTCACGTATAAAAGCTAAGGTGTTGCCCAGCGCCCTATTTTACTGTTTCATATTTGTAGTTCGCGGCCTATTGCTTTGTCACTGAATCCAGAGCATATTTGGCTTTTTTTACGCGCAGTAATACGTCTTTCCGCATATCATACGTCTTTCCGCTTTACAGCTTCAATTCTTATAAGACATACTTTCCAAATATTCCATTTACTTTACACGTTTAGTGACGAACCCCCCGGACCTATTATATCTTTCTTTACTAGCCGTAGCCGTGTTCAGTATTATTACTCGTTATTCTTATAATCATCATTTATAATGATGACGACAGTTTGCAACCCAATGACTTTTAGGCGTAATGCATCATCTTCCTATCCTATTAACCATTAAATCAGCAGTCCTTTATTCAGTTACGTTTGCTATATTTTAAATTCTGGATACATTTCATTTTATCTACGCTTTTTAGCTGTGCATCCGATTAAGTTATAATTGGATTAATTATGTTACAAATCTTTCCATTCTACTTAGCGAAGGATCTTATCACAAAAATTCTTGTGGTTGATAGTTAGATGTTTCGCAATATCATAAGGAGAGAAAACTTTGATCCACACACTAAAATGACGCCTGAAAGTTTCTTGTACATAGCACGTAGCTCAAGACTTCGCTTGAATTCTTTTCGCAATTATTTTTGCATAACTTTATTATCGTAACTATACTGATAAAACTGAACAAACTTATAGCGCTCGCACAATGATGAAAGCTCGCCATCTAGTTACATAGAAAACACAAAGGTGTCCAAGACTGATCTGAACATCTCTGCATATATCCAGACTTCCCTAGTTGATTGACCACATATCGAGTTTCGTGCATAACTCAAACTCTTTCAGATTAATTGCATTGCCTTCTTTGGAACCAAAGTATTTCATGTAGACACGAACCTCAGAGACTATGCCAACATAAAAGAAATTCATCTACATATATCTACAAAACATCTTTTTAGGGTTCCGTAGCTAAAAAGGGAAAACGGAACTATTACAATTTCATTATTTCCTGTCCTGTATTCTGTCCTTATAACACAGATATTTTACTCGTAAACTATTAGATCTACGTAGCTAGATAGGTAAATTGAAATAGTATTTCTTTATTATAATAAATTGAAACAACGATTATATTAAATTGAAATATAATCGTTGATTAGTTTTGACATTTATAGCATTTAACTTTTTTGCGAATTTAAAGATGATACGGAAACCTTAGTGAAACACAAAAAGTAAAATTCTATGTTTGTTAATTCTATTTGATGTCGGACCTGATTGACCCTATTTCTGGCCGATTGTGAGACGATGTTGGTCTGTTATCAGTAAACTCCCTATCTTCCGTCCATATCGTTCTCATCAGAATTGTCGTCATATAGGGAATATCCATGTGATTTAAATAAGGGTGAAATATTTTTTTATAATCTTTATTCCTTTTGAATTAAGCTGATATCAAAAAAAATGTAATTTCTTATTAGTTAAGAAATTAATTATTAAAAGTGCAAATATAGGTGGAAAACTCAAAGTAGTTAAAACGCACACCATTGGTCAGATTGAATATGACGTCAAATTATTATCATACTCGTAATATAGCGATTAGCGATTTTGTCGTCAAAATTGAGTCGTCATTTTTCTGTGTATGATACTGTGACGTCACGCCAAGTGCGCGAAATGACGGGCGTTTATATAGTATCCGTACTCGTAAGATATATTTTTTATACTAAATTTTAGTTTTTTGGAGCTGGATATTTTTTTACAATTATATAAAGATGTTAGCTATTGTATAAAAAAATAAAAAAACACACGCATATTCAATATTGGTTACAGTTCTACTGGAAGTGCATAGTTCAATTACCTTTTCTTTTATCTTTCTATAGAATCGTCATTCTGCTACCCGTCGGTACAGAGAATGTCAGAATGTTTTTATTTGATTTGTACTTATAAAGAATCTGTCTATAGTACTTGCATTCCCAATCACTGGTCCTTTCAAATATTCAACGGATGTCGCTAAAAATACGTTTTTACCGATGCCCAGAGCAAAAAGAACTGGGAATGTCCAGGACATACTGATAAAGAAGAAGAATTGTCCAAAAATCTACATAGTAAAAAATGAATGTATACTTTGATCTCAATACAAATATTATACTTCTAATATCTAATACTATCAATTGCTTTTTTCTCATAATCAATTAATTAGGACATTCTCTGTTCTTTGCCTGTATCCTTCAAGTATTATAATATTTCATATTGAGGTTTACGGCAATTTCTTAGTTTTTAGTAACCGCGGCTTCGTTAATACCAACTTTTTATTTTTCGATGTGCTCGCGTCTGGACATTTTGTTCTACATCATCATCATATAGACAGACTCCTATTGTCTAATCATAGCGGTAAAGTGGTTGGGGTCGTCTCGTATGGACGTATATATTATATAGTCCACACCTGGCAAGAGGTAGCCCACTAAATACAAATCATTCTTTTCACATTCCTTCGCCATCATCATCTACATATATTCTTTACTTATGAATAAATTAGAAATTTAAATATTATAGTATGCTACATATAGTACAATTCATTTATTTTCCTTGTAACGGAATAAAACGAAAAGTAAACAAATAATTTAGACAGTTGTAAATCCATCGAAAAGTTAAGTGTAAAATAATAACTTTAAGGTACCTACCTCCTCTACTTTATCAAGGAAAGGGTCTGAATAGTCAATGTCGTGGTCTATTCGTAAGATGTCTGCTCCTTCGACTTGTGCCTTTTCTACCTCCGGTATGGGCATACGTTGGATCAAGTCCATAGCTTCCTCGTGAGTGATGCCTTCAGCTGGCTCGAACTGAACCAGTGGTAGCACTTCTGTGAATTAAATTAAATATATAACATCCAAGACATATGAGTACTATTATTATTCTCATCATCTTCAGTTCATCGTCTAATTAGCATTTTTCTAGTCTAGTTTTTGTAGTTAAGTTGTTAGGTTAAATTACTTACCTATAAACCATACGTATTGTTTGTTATTAACGCCATACATTTTATTTAACGTTGTGAGTCTCAGAATAATAATAATAAAAATAAAAAACTGAACTGCTGTCTCCTAAGCTAAGCCAGGGACTGTATTTTAGGTGACAGATAACCTAAGTATAATGAAAACTAAAATCTGATAACTACTTTTAATTTACTATTTATATCGAGAAGTGAACAAAATGTGGTGTTAAATACGAGTTGATGTACTTCAATAAATTTTGCAATAATTTTATTTTGTGTACGCCATCTGTGACAACATTACAGATTCAAACCAAACATTCCTCATCTCTCTATCCATTGTACAGATGGCGCTGATTATGAAAAATCAGTATTTGTATTTATAAATAACAGCTAAACGATGTAAGATGTCAGAATTTTCTGTAAAATTGCAAAAAGAATGTAACGTAATGATGAACCTGTATGTCTTTAACCATTACCACTTTAAACAATCACAGCATACAACAACAAACGGTATTTTACTGAATATAAATAGTGCTACAAATTATTTAACACCTGACACCACTATGAACATAATATGTTCAATAAGACTGATAATATTCATATAATAATAGAGCTTACAATAAAGCGCCATGCTCATATTATATTTTTAATTTTTCATTTAATTACCTTAATAGCAGATCCTAGTTGTATTAAGTCTCGTTACATCAGGTCATACTCTATACACGCACACGCACATACTCTACACACGCACACACACACGCGCACCACACACTGGCACGCACGCACGCTCTTACGTACACGCAGACACACACGCCCACGCACACACGCACACGCACAGACGTAAAACGCACACAAGCTCACCGTGTGTAGCCAATGAGTACGCCGGCTGGTGCCTACAGCGCGGGCACTGGGCCGCGAGCGGCGGCGCGTGCCGGCGGCAGCGCCAGCACAGCGGCGACACATCCTCCTCGCCCGACCCGCTGCTGTTCACGCCGCTCTTCAGCATTAACAGCTCTACACCTTCCTAATTTGTATATTATTATGTATTTAACATAGCAATTTAAAAAACACCTGTGTGTGTATTTATTTACACATGTAAGAAGTTATACTTCTTTGGGATAACAGAACAAAATTTGCTAAAATTTCATCCCGTATATCACAACTCTCTATTTGTAAAAAGAATGCAGCTAACTTTATCATGTTGCTTTTAGCTAACTTCATAAGGACGCTTTTTGGCTGCCGGTATGCGCGTGCAGCATCGTAAAATTTTTACTCTCGTATTTTTTTCCAAACGCGCCAAAATAAGTATAACTTCAAAAATATTAAATATGATTTCGAAATGCCTATATAGCACGTATTTAAACAATAAATATTTTATAGATACTGTTTAAAAGTTCGACAAAAGAGTCAACATTATTATAATTATAGATAATAATAATACCTATATATAATTTATAAATAAACAGAACAGTTGACACCATATGGACGGCAAATACAGATTATCGTCAATCAAAACAAGTTTTCCCCCAACCTAACAAGCCACTAACAACTAAACTAACACGCCTAGATGGATCCAACTTAAAAACGGTGGTGGAACTTATAACAGGACACTGCCATCTCAACAAACATCTTTTCAATATAGGTCACACGGACAGCGCCCTCTGCAGGGCGTGTCTCTAAGATGATGAAACACCAGCTTACATTCTGCTAAAATGCAGTGAACTGAAACACTTACGCGAAGAAAACTCAGCCCCAAAAGAACTCTCCCGGAAATCTTCCTGGATACCGGCAACCTGTTAGACTACTGGGACGCTCTGGGATGGAAAGAATAACACAAACTAGCAAAAACTCACGTACAATGGACAATGCTTCCTAAGTACGGAAAAAGCCGTGCGAGAAGAAGAATTTATAAATAGGCAAAGACAAAACAGTTTAGTACCTTTATCTCCTCTGTTTGTCAACCGATATTCTTTTTGTTTTGTATTATCAATAAAATAATGAGTGCGGTAATATTTCGACCACTGGACGAACACTAGTTAATAGTTATAGTAAAACAATAATATCTCACCTCATACAAAGAAATTGAACAATTGAGGTTTGTCTTCAGGCTATATTGCCTGTATAGACGACAGATTGTGCTTACCCGAAACCCGCCAAATACGTATTTTTATAACATTTCATGTGTGCACTGTAATGTTATAAATGTAGCAAAAAACAACACATTTCGATAATCATCATAACTGTAAATGAGATAATTTATAAATGGCGAACAGCGTCATCTATTAAGAGTAATCACCTACGCAGTATAAACGTATTATCCTGTAATAAAATTGTAAAATTATGAAAACCTGATATTATTTCTGAAATAAATTGTGCATTTTTAGGATATCATTTTCATTTTTATTAATTTTACGTAAGTATTAATAATAAATCCCTAAAACGTCATCTGTTGATGTCTACTTGAACTATATCTTTTCATCCCGATTCTTATAACATACATATCTATAAGTAATCTTAAACTTTTAGATCTAAAAGAAAGATTAGCTGAAGTAAAAATCAGGGTGCTAAGAAGATAGCACGATTAGGTTGCAATAAAAGCCAAATCGAAAATATTTAGAAAAAATAGTATGATTCAGTGTCATGAATTTCAAAAAAAGAGAGCTGTAATTACCTGAAATTTTTGAGGCACTTGGAGTCCCAGTATTTTGTCCAACATTTGTCGGGCGAGTGTGTTTGCATTGAGGACTTTAGCTTGTTTCGCCAAACAAAGGTATAAGCAACTGACATTAGGTCAAGAAAAAAATATATATATACATAAAGTCTTACTACATGGAGCTTTATATACCAATACTATTATATGTATACACAATTCAGGTGCAAGTGTTATTTTGAGGAGGTATTATAGTGCACAAGTGTACGCGTCAACACAAGTGCATTCTGTGTTCCTTTTACGAACTTTGAGAGTAGCCTCTCCGAGGCACGGAGTTCAACACCGCCAACTCCGGGCTATTACTGAGGATATCTTAAAAAACTCAATTAATCTTGGTCCGACCCGGTACTGAAATCCAGGTCCAGCGATTTTGCAGCCCTATAGTGGTTAGCAATCACTAGATCACCGAGGCAGTCAATTTATATTGTGATAACTAGCGGCTTATCCGAGCGAATGCGTCCCTAAGTACGTTTTAATTTTTTTGAGCCAAACTCTAATTATTTTTCTAAAATAAAAGTAGTTTAAGTTACTCCTTATAACATCAGCTACTAGACTAGCCGGAACAAGCAGACAGATGGACAGACAGACAAAAATTAATAAAATTGTGTTTTTCTTATAAGCACCGTATATAATTTTTTATACATTTAGTAAAAAGTCGTTCTTCATTTTTATTCATCTGTCATATAGACATAAAGGATACAACATGGAGACCCCGGTGGGCGGCGTCGCGTCCAGCAGCGCGAGTACGTAGCGCGCCGCGTTGAGCAGCGCTTCCGGCTGCGACAGGGAGAAGGGCTCGTGCACGCAGCGGTGCACCGCGTCGTACGCGTGGTACACGCGCGCGAGCCGCTCGTTGTGCGCGAACTGATGCAGCAGTGTGTCGGCACCGTGCTCCCTATTGTTGGGTTATATTTATAAATTAACTAGCAGAACCCGCAGCTTCGCTCGCGCTTAAACTACAAAAGTGTCTCTAAGATTTCTTTCATACCAATTTTCAACCCTTATTATACTCCCATATAGGATGGAATATATCAAAGATAGATTAGAGTGAAAGAGAGTTAGCGCGTTAGTTATCTGTTTGTTGTGTGTGTTGAGGTTGCGGCCAAATGCGCAACGGCAGCTTACATTTTTCAAGATCTCTACGTATGGTTCTGTGAAGTGGAGTATAATTCATTGTAATAACAAATGCATGGTTTTTATTTCAATAAGTCAACTATTATTTAGTTAATTAAACATACTAGCGGGCACATTTGAATAGGCACCCTGGTCAAAACGTATCGTTCCTTTTATTATTGTATATAAAAAATTGATTTCGATTAAATACGCAATGGACGTAGCAATCTTGCAGTGGGATCTTAGTCCATATAAAAACTTTTTAATAAAAAAAATAAAAACGGACTTCAAACAAAAGCACTAAAAAGTAAAAATAACTCATTGATAGTTTTCATTTACTATACATACCTAATCAAATATTTTCAAAGTCGGTGTGCTTTGCTTTTTATGGGCTGGCACCGATTTCGAAAATATTTGATTAGGTATGTATTTAATAAGTAGGCTTTAATTACTTAGCCAAAGTTTATTATTTTTCCCTTTTTAGTGGAGACAGTAGTAGCAAAGTAAGAATTCTAACGTGTTAGGCTTGTCAAATCAAACAAAATAAGCCCAAACTCAAAGTATCTACTATTAGCCGTTGAAGAGTTCTGGCCTTGCCATCAGATCAGGTCAACAACACCGAACCACTGTACTATCAACGGAAATAGAAACACTTGCAAAGTTTCAAGTCAATATGACAATTAGAAGAAGGTTAAATCCATAATTAGCTATTTTTCCACCCTTAGGGGTGGTATTTTTTTTTAATTTAAATGGAACCAATCTGGAAGTATACACTTTCAAACAACACAAAAATTGTCCAAATCGGTTAATAAATGACGGAGTTCTGAGGTAACAAACATAAAAAAAATATACAGACGAATTGAGAACCTCCTCCTTTTTGAAGTCGGTTGAAAATATAAAGTATGAACAGCTCTAAGATTCGTCTTGTATGCATACACATAGATATCATATTTATAACTATGTGGATCAACAGGGTTGGACCAAATATTTTATAATATGGCATTTTATATACAAACAAACAACACCATTGCACATTTACATCTATTATTATTATATTTAGTAAGCGACAAAAAATAAAAAGATATAATACATTTTCTTCGTAGGTATAGATTAGCCAGGCAGTGGTAGCCCAGTCGTAATGCGCTCGCTTGGGAGACCGAGTGAAGCGGGTTCCATTCCCGGGTCTCGCACCTCTGATATTTTCACGTGCGAATCAATTCTAATATGATTACTATTTGCCTTACGGTGAAGAAAAAGATCGAGAAGAAACTTGTATATCTGAGAGAACGTAGCAAGTTTTCAAAAGACATGTGAAGTCCGCTAACCCGTTCTTGGCCAGCGCGTGGACTATGGCCTGATTCCTCTCGTACTGAAGGGAGGCCCGTGCCCAGCAGTGGGACATTAAAAAGGGCTGAATACAAGGTATAGAATAGGAAATCTAAACATTTTTTTAATGGATATATATTTATAACTCGAGTAAACATAACTCACTTATCATTAGAGATCGCTGAATCTAAGCACTGTGAGGCCAATAGATGGTGCAAGTACCCGGCATCGTTAAAACGCTCCTCGTTCACAGCGTTACCTACTAAAACGGTGAAAACGCGCATTGCCGTGGTCGCGTCACCTGCCATGTGATAAGCTGGGAACAAAGATTTTACTACAATTAAAACAAGTTTGCCTTTAATTGTGATATATAGTCGATTTAAATCATTACCTACTCTATAAACAAAGAAGTTGGTGTGCCTTATACAAACTTCAAAATTACGTAAACCTAATTACTCCGTTGAGAGTGGAGGGTGAGAGATGAAAAAGGTACTGAACTGTTTTATCTTTTCCTATTTATATATAGATTATTATCCAAGCGATTGCGCGTTATATTTTCTTATAAATATTTTATTAATTAAAAGTAAATGTACAATTTTAACTGTAGAGGAATTTTAAATATTTGTTATACATACTTTCTTAACACATACATATACATATATCCACAGATCTGCCTTTATCACGAGATGGAAGATACAAGGGGTCATCTCACAGCCGTCAAATTTTACTTCTGGAGCACCTATTGAAGTTTTACTTAAATAAATCCAATTTACCTTTTTGTGCTTCAACAAATTTGTTCTCCTGTGCCATGCGATGCGCGTAGGGCAAATAGACTTCTTGCCTGCACTCAGTATGTTCACGGGCGAGTGTGAAAGCTCGCGACCACTCGCCTGCTGATACTGCCAGTTGCGCCACTTTCCTACAACACAAATTACATGTGGTGTTACGGACGACGAGTCAACGCAACGGCTGAATCTTATCGACACGCGCGCGTATATATTTGCGCGCTCTTTGCCCTTATCGTATCCTATCATATCCCCATATCGTATATTCCCCTTTATCGTAAAATCTAATAAGATGTTAGACGCACAGTAGCATATCTAATAAGATTGTGAATTAGCTATAAAAACACGAGATTTTGTTCATTCTGTACCATTCGTCCGACAGATGTAGAAGAGGCAACAAGGAAGACCATAAAGAAAGAATCAAGGCATGTGTTTCAGAAACGTTAATACAATCCCCAAATGGGTAATATATCGGACTACTATTATAAATGGGAAAGTTTGTGTGTGTATGTTTGTTACTCCTTCACATTGAAACAGCTGAACGAATTTGGATAAATTTCAGTATACAGATAGACTATGACCTGGAGTAACACATAGGATTTAGGCACAGGGTCACACCCAAGTGTGGCGAGGGTAAGTCACTACTCACTAGTAAATTAACTTGGGTTTTAAATTGGTTGATTACTGTACAGACATGACACTTATAACTTATATTTTTACCGGACTGCAAGGGAAGGGATATATTTTTCGCGCCTATCTTTGTATACAATATGTTTATTTGTAATATTCTTTATTATATTAATTAAGGTATCGTTAGATTCGTCTCATTAGTCCAAGTGTTCTTAGATAGGTAAAATAAAAAAAAATGACGGCTGCTAGATTCCATAATATGAAAAGGAAAAAATGAAAATCGACGAACTATGTCACGTGAGGTATCGTGGAATAGGTATTTAAAAATCATTCTAGGTTTCTTTCATCATTTTTCATTGTAAATAACAGTTTACTAGTATGTACATCTCGCGGCAAGGATGAAACATGTATGTATGTCTCCGACTGGATAATACTATATTCCTTCGTGAACTTGTTTTCATCTTTTTAGTTAGCTTTTATGCAGCCGGGTTTTTTATTTTTAAAATATATTTATTTTATTAGTACAAATTTAATAAAAAAACATATCTACGTATAAAATTCATTTCTTACATAGTTACCAGTGTACTCATATGTCTAGCGAGAATGACATTAACATACATTTTAATATAATATTTGAAAAGATTTATATTTAAAGAAAACATTTATGTAGGTTTTTAATATAAGCAAAACCTACAGTTAGTCAATTTGATATTGCAATGGGACTTCATTAACAAAATTCCTTACTTATAATCTCCAAGGCGTTGATACACGTCGCCCGCCGTCGGGTACTCGCCTACGGTGATTAGTGCCTCTGCCACGTGACGTAGAGATTCGCTTGAGCCTTTATCCATTTTTCTCGCTAATTCTATTAACCTGGTTGAAGAAAAAATTAATATTCACAAGTCAAATTTGACATTTTTTACTTGAAAACAAAAAGATTTTACTAATCTTTGAAATTCTACTATATATAATATGGAAATTCGAAGCAATAGGTAGTGTTATGTATTGTTTTTTTATAAAGTTCATTATTCCTGCTTTATTATATTATCAAAGTGCGATATACATTCAGCACAAATATGTATAAAACTGTACATATTAACAACAATTCATTTATTTTAATATAAACGAAATACGTTTTTTGTTTTTGTAGGCAGGAGATTTTATTGAAAAGTACATGGTTATTCAACTGTTGGGTGAGGCCCGAACCTTTTCCTCCCTCGTGCGCCTTCACCTTGTCGTGGAGCGGGGGTTTATTAGCTTCCGGCAATCCAGCCGGGCGCGAAGCCAAATAACATAATGGGATGAGGCCTACTTCGGTGTTCGGTGTGCCATGCCGCTTGCTCTTGGTACTTCTTTGATAGTACTGTGGATCATAGGGGCAACCCCTTTGTTGTTGTCGTTTCATTCGGCAGGCCTGCCGTCGGGGCGTCGTGGTTGAGAGGAGTTAGCACGGTAGAAGTTTTGTTGGATTTTAGTGGGTAGTACTGGCTTTTCTAGCCGGCGAATCCCACATAAATGCATTTTCAAACATTAAAAAAAAAGAAAAAGTAAAGGCCCGAACCCGTTAAGTATGTATGTATGTATGCAGCCCTTTTTAAACCCTTTCCCTTCTTTCTCCCTTCAGTACGAGGGGAATCAGGCCGTAGTCCACCACGCTGGCCAAGTGCGGGTTGGCGGATTTCACATGTGTTTTGAAAACTTGCTAGGTTCTCTCAGACAATTAGATTTCTTCATGATGTTTTCCTGCACCGTTAAAAAATGGTAATCATGTTGGAAATAATTCACGCATGAAAATATCAGAGTCGAGAGAGAGAAAATATCATGCAATCCCCGGGATTTGAACTCGCTTCACTCGGTTTCCCAAGCGAGCGCGTTACCGCTGGGCTACCACTGCCTTAGTATATAATTGCAAACTTCTACCACAACAATACTAACATATCACGTCGCCCACTTTCCGCCAGCAGCCTCGCGGCTCGGCGCACGTCCCCCGCCGCTAGGTACATCTCTGCGGCGGCGCGCGGCTCGTTGACACGACGCGCCCACTCCGCCCGCTGTCGCGCCAGGCTCGCCAGGCCCTCGCCCTCACCCGTGTACTCCTGTCGACATTGGATTTTTTATATATCTTGGGACATTAACACACAGCAACATCTAGTTCCATGGTAAGCTACGAGGCTTGTGTTATGGATACCAGATAGTTGAAACATTAAACATATATAAACTTTTAAATGCATACATAGTATAAATATAAACAACCATGACTAGAGTATAAACATTCGTGCTCATCACACAAATGAATGCCCCCAGCGGGACTCGAACCCGCGACCGCTGGCACAGCAAGTAGGGTCACTTCAAACTGAGCCAAACGTGACGTCAATTGGACAAGTGCGACATCTAACTCACACACCGAGGGTTCCATAGCATAAAACATTAAAAATTAGTTTATAATCGTAAAAAAATTCAATTTTTGTGATGAAACTACAAATTAATAGTTTTCTACTCTGTCTGTCTGCTTCTTACCAAATTTCATGATTCTAGGTCAATGGCAATAAATCCTATAAGTTTTGATACTCTCGCTAGTGTCAAAATATGCGCCAAAAACGGCCATATCTTTTGATTACGTTGACTTAGAATTTTGATTTTTTTCAGCTCGAAGGGATTGCAGACCTAAGTATTAGATTTAATTTTAACTTGATACGTCCACGCGTTCCTGAGGGAAAGGGTCTTGACAAACAGAAAAATAATCGGACAACTTTCGCATATTAGTATGGGATTTTTTTTAAATACAGCTTTTTAGTTTGTCAATTAGACATTTGAAGTTATATTTAGCATTTTTTTATCCTCAATTACTTTTAAACATATAATTTGAATGCAATTTTTGATCACCTCTTAAAAATCTTTATTTTGATACCCCACTCGATTGGTTTCGCCTGATATCCACCATTTTAATTTTTAACTATTTTTATATAATCCGTGACAGTCACGTTATCAAGACAAATGGCAATCAAACGTCATCAATCATCAATATCAGCGCACGCGTTTGATCTCTAGAATGCCACATAGGAACAAACATACATACATACATATTATATAGGCTGGTAAACACATTACCCTTCCTAGCCTCGCGCAGTCGGGTAAAAAGAAGCCCAGATATTCATGTAAAATTACTTGTCTTTTTTTTTAATAAATTACTCACTTTGTACTTCACATTCATGCAAAATTTTAAAATTACTAAAAGCCTAAATTAGGGCCATTTAATTTAGCTTTTTAGTAATTTTACATGAACAATGAACATCAACTACAAATGGAAGCAATATAAATGATAACTAATAACATCTATGTAAACTTTTCTTCCTTCTTGACTGAGCCATATTAGTTCCAGAATCCTCACAAGATGGCGCTGGTGTTTAATTCAATCGTGCTAATCTATCTATATATGTATAATGTATATGTTAACTAAGTATCATATTTACAACTTATTTGAATGTCTGTATTTTGAACTTATATATATTGAAATGAAATGAAATAATATTAGTCCCGCCGAGTTTCTTTCGCCAGTTCTTCTCAGGTCTGAGGCTTCTTCTTTCCGAACTGGTAGTAGACTCATGACATTCAGTAAAAAAATTGCAATCATTTTGTGCTGAATAAAATATTTTGAATTTGACTTTCTACCTGTGCCTTGTTAAACATGCGTAGATCCAGGTACAGGGCGAGCGCGAGATCGTCCCTACCCGCACTGCGGAAAGCTCGTGCTGCGTCCGCGTACCGCCCGCAGTGTGCGATCACCTCGCCTGCTATCACCGCTCGCTTCTCCCCATTTTCCATACGCTCCTGTTTAAGTTATATTCATAAGAAAATTAGTGACTCACCCTCGCTTCGCTCGGGTTTATCCCTGGGTAAGTTTCAATTTTTTTGAGCGGAATCATAATTATTTTTCTAAAATAAAAGTAGCCTATGTTATTTCCTATAATATCAGCTATGTTTCAGAAAAAATCGCGTCAAAATCAGTCCAGCTGTTTCAGAGATTATTTGGAACAAACAGACAGACAGACAGACAGAGAAAAATTTAAGAAATTGTGTTTTTCTTATACTCGTAAGTACCATATATAATTTTATATGAATGAAGTAAAACGCTGTTATTTAGACATTAGAAACAGACACTTCAATTTTATTTATCTGTATAGATGTATACATATATATATTTGAACATGTCTCGTAATTATAATATAACTCGCGACATCTAAAAAGAACGCTGGCTGTCAAGCTGCGCAGAAGCGATTTATCGGTCAAATTTGTGGGGCGAGGTGGACCACGGGGCAGCGGGGCACGCGCCGCATGCTTGCCGGCTCGCTATTGGTTCGTCAGTTCGAAATACCATCGCGCACACAAAAGTTTTTAATTACGAAATGGTATGGTAAGTTTTTAATAACGTTTTTAATAACGAAATAGAAAGGAGAAAAAAATATTTTGGACGCATATTGTTTTATAAAGAGAGAGTCTGATAAACATAGTTATATGATGCAGTTAAAAATTTTAAAAAATGTATTAAACGTATTAATTTAATTTTTTGTAAGTAGATTCATTCAAACATTCTACACTGAATCAAACATATTTTAATAATTAATAGGATTCTATTTAATGATATTCTATATAATATATTTTTCAATATATAACTCGCGTCATGTAAAACGAACGAAGAATTGGAAGTAAAAGGTGCGGCGGCGGTTATTATATGTAAAGATTAAAACATTTTACACTGAAACAAATATGTTTTTAATTCTATTTAATGACAAAGGATGGTGATTCTATTTAAAATAAAATAAAAAAATAATATTTTTATATAATATATTTTTCAAAGTCCCTACCAATAACTAATATATGAAGCCGCGATCGAAATGCTATGAAAAATAAAATAATAAGCTTAGTGCTTTTGTGCGCGAGTATACCCATGCGCAAACATACCCCCTCCACTTTCTTCCAGCGTTCTTTTTACAAGACGCGAGTTATATGTATTATTAATATTATTTCAAGCAACACGTTAAAATATTTTTATGTCTTTCGAAATATGTGATTATCATTAATATAACTCAAATTTTAATAGACTAAATATAACTCCAAAACATATTTTAGTTATTTAAACATTAATCCGTACTAATTGGTTACATATTATACCGTAGCTCTATCTGTTTAGTGTTCACATCTAAAAGATGCGGAAAGACATGGCTACACATTATGACACTTATAAATAGAACTCCAGTAAAAAATGAAGGCCTGATAAATAATTCTATTAAGATAAAAACATATCTGAAACAGTGATTAATCATTAAACTACAAACACTGCAGACCAAGGTATGGTTGATCACTAGTAAATTAAATATTCACCTGTAATTGGTCAATAAGCGTGAGAAAACTAATGTTCTCACTGCGTTGAAACGCCTTGCGTGCTACTTCGAAGGAAAGCTCCTCTAGCGCTGCAGTACCAAGCCTCTCCCAGTCCAAGGCCGTCACACCGAGGCAGGCTACCGCATACGCTTCACTGTAAGGTAATATAAAATATATATGAATTCGTCCTACTATTATACTTGAGAAATTTTGTGTGCGTGTTTATGTGTGTTTATGTATGTGTGTATGTGTGTGTGTGTGTGTGGGTATGTGTTTGGGTCTGTGTGTGTGTGTGTGTGTGGGCATGTGTTTGGGTCTGTGTGCGTGTGTGTTCGTATGGACGGATCCGTCCAGGATTTGAATGAAATCAGAGATAAATTATGACCTGAAGTAGCACATGACACATAAGAAAGAAATACCTTAATTTCTTCATACACTGTCATAATAAGTTATAAGGAAGCAGCCACACTTGCTAAGTAATAAAATCGGCGGCTCCACTACGATTCATCTTTATTCTACATCATATTTACAGGTTGTAATTTATAATTTATTGTAACTAATAATAATGAAGTCCTTACTTAAATAACTTTTGTTGAACATACTGGTGCACCGCGTGCGAGAGAGGCACATTGATTGTTTGCATGGCATTTGCTTGCAAACAGAACACTCGTCCGCCCTAAAATATAAAAAAGAAATTTAACAAATTAAAAAAAATATGTTATATTATAAGATTAGGTTATTAATTATAAATAATAATTAGTAACAAATTATTCACTTTAATACTCTTTGCTACAAAAATCATATTAGTGCTGTAAATACGAAAGTTTCTGAGCGAGTGAGTGTGTTACTCGAACTTGACTGAAATTCGAAATGATCTTCATTATTATAGGAGCTTTATATTCTGGATTAACACATAGGACTTAGCAACTTTTTATTAATAGGTATTCACGTAAGCAAATCCGGGGCTAAGATCTATCGCTATCCATATCAAATCACAGAGATTGGCTGACACAAACAAACTGACAACAAAGGTGACGGACGATTGCTATTATTACTCATCGCAAACCAAGTCACATTAATAAATAATAATTAGCTCATTCGCTTCATAGCTTCATAAATATTTGTTTATTCGCCAACTAAATATTGTATATTCGCTACACGCATACCATAAATAAACGTGGTAAAGGCTTTAAGTATTTCGTAAGAAATACAATTACATATAAAAATTCATTTATCATAGTTACAAGCGAATTATACAATTTCTGTTTTATTACATTACAACGACATTAACATAGGGAAAATAAAAATAACCAAAAATGAATAGATTATAAAACAAACCATGTTATCGGACTTTTTGCGATTTCTTTTGATATTTTTTCAAAAGAAATCCGCCAAAAAAATTTCGAAAACATAGTTTTATTTGAAACTAGCAGAACCCAATAGCAGAACACAGCTTCGCCCGCGCTAAAACTACAAAAAGCAACTCTAAAAAAGTAGGTTTCATACAAACTCTCATTTCCTATTTTACCCCACTTATGGGATGAATTTTGAGAAATGCTAACACATGTATTTATTTAATTATAATGAAGAGCAAGTTTCAAGTAATTCTGATAATAAATATTTTTTGCGTTGTATGTTTATGTATTGTTAACGTGTTTTCCCGTGGGAATGAGATAATATTCCGCGGTAGAAAGTAGCCTGTCACTCTCCAGCCAACTATCTCCACACAAAAAATTACGCCAATCTGTCACTCTGTTTCGACGTGAAATAAGGGCAGGCAAACAAACACACTTTCACATTTATAATATTACTAGGGATGTCAAATATTCGCGTAAATCTAAGAAAGTGTGTAAAACAGTATGGACTGGATATCGCAAATCAATTACGCCGGTTCTGAAGACAAAACTCGCAAGATTACTAACATCTTTAACATTCTTGAAGAGATGTCGTGTGAGTCTCTCCCGTGGCCATGATTGCTGTAAAACATTCGAAACGTCGGGGACCAAATATCTAGATAAAACCGCGAAAAATCCGAAAAGATAGTTTTATTTAAAATGTCATACATTCGCGTAAATCTAAGAAAATATTCGATTATAAAATTGTATTCAGCCCTTTTGTAACGTCCCACTGCTGGGCACGGACCTCCCTTCAGTACGAGGGGGGATCAAGCCATAGTCCACCACGCTGGCCAAGTACGGGTTGGCGGACTTTACATGACTTTCGAAAACTAGCTAGGTTTTCTCAAACATGCAGGTTTCCTCACGATGTTTTCCGTTTTCCTTCACCGTAAGACAAGTAGTAATTATGTAAGAATTGATTTACACGTAAAAATATCAGAGGTGCGAGACCCGGGATTTGAACCCGCTTCACTTGGTTTCCCAAGCGAGCGCGTTACCACTGGGCTACCACTGCTTTATATTATAAAATGTTATTTACAAACTCACTTGAAAGCCCACAACCGAGCCAACCAAGGGTTGTGTGGCGGGCGGGAACTGACCCGCTTTAATGGAAAGCAGCCCCGCTCCGGAGAGACACAGCAGCTCATCGCACCAAGAGTTCCATGAGACGGATGACACGTTTTCTTCCTGTTACAAGGAAATATTTACATTATTGTACCCATAATCATAGCACATAAATGTTTATAGCAATTGCACTTGACTAACATCCCATAAAACCATTTAATAAATTTGTGTACCTTGTGTTAAATTATTTATTAATAATGTTTGGATGATGTTTATTTTTACCTTAAAATAATTTGGTACTATTTAATGGTGAAAGCCATTACAATAAGTTTTACACTGTCTTAATGATAATAGGATTTTTTACAACAATATTATGGTATATGGTATGGTATAATCGGGCTTGTTTCCGGAACTCGACATCTGCGCGCCTATTTTGCGTGTGTGGAAAATTTTTCCAATCGTTTTATTCTTGCCAGCCCAGTTCCTCCAGGAATTTCAGCAGTCTCTTCGTCTTACCGAAGACCTCCGGGAGCGTACTAGGGGTGCCAAGATGTTGAACCCGGTACGCCGCTACACCTGGACAATGTAAAATTACATGTGCAGCCGTTTCATCTGCCCTCATGCAGGCTCTGCAGAGTGGGCTGTCCGTTATACCTAAGTTAAATAGGTGTTTATTGTAGGGTCCGTGGCCTGTTAGAGCTGCGGTTATCTGTCTGAGCTGAGATCTATTGAGATTGATCAGACGGTTAGTCGTTTACTGTTAATGGTAGGAAGCGATTCCTTCACCTGCCTGCAGTCTACAACTTCACGCCATATATTTTCGTGTAGTCGTTTTGTACGTTGTCGTATTTGACCTTTGAGCCAGAAGAAGGTAACGAAACGATGAGCTCGGGACCTATTGCGTTCAAGTCCGATCCTCTTCTTGCTAGCTCGTCGGCCCTATCGTTACCCCACGAGTTACTGTGGCCTTTGACCCATTGTACGGAGACCTCGTTTTGGTCACTTACCTGTGTGTGTCAAAGCGCTATGACATTCATAGATCATACCTGAGGTGGTAGAATTACTATTTAATGTCTGTAGTACTGACATTCTGTCTGATAGTATGCGGATAGAGAAGTCTTTGACGTCTTTTTTCGCAATTGTTCTAGCTGCCTCAAGGATACCTAGACATTCGGCTTGAAACACGGTGTTGTAGGTACCTAAGGGTATTGAAGTTTTAATGTTTAGGTCGTCAGAGAAGATCCCGCAGCCTGTCCCTGATTTAGTTTTTGAGCCATCAGTGTATACTCTAAGGTCCTTGCTGTCGCGACCTTCGTATTTGTCTACCTCTAGCTCTATTTTGTATTTTTTGTCAAAAATGTATTTGATTTGGATCGCATCATTAGGTGCTCCCATGAGCGGGATGTCTTTGGCTACGTCTATCAAAATTTTTGTATGTGGCGTGCCTGTTTTTCGTAGCAACTTCTGATTATCTAATCTTGTTGCGGTAGTCGCAGCCTCTTGTTGGATGAACAAGTGCAGGGGCAGAAGACTTAACATGGCTTCCAGGTACAACAATATTAATAAAATAGCAGTTTTTCTTAGAAAATCAAATACATATAACAACGACTCTATATAGCTTTCATTCTACCTGACCCGAAGGTAATTGTTTTTTTTTTTGAAAGCAAATTTAACAACGTGATATAACCCACATAATTTTCATACGCGTAATTTCGAATTTGTGTTAAGGATGCATGAAATAATTGCGTTTGATCCCTAGCTGTATTATTATTACTAACATTTTAATCATGCAATTAATACGTAGGATATTTAAGAATTCATTCTATAAATCGTACACTTTACAAACACGATTATTTGTAGTTTCCTCGATAGAAAAAAATCCAAAATGATCTCTAAAAACAAAATAAACACTTAGTGCGGCGTAAATAATTCAAGGAAGTTCATCAGTTTTTTTTAATAATGACAAAACTACACGTTTTCTATAACATATACACTGTACATTTTCGAAATGTGTATTTGTTTTAATAATACGAAGGAAATACCTAAAATCACACGCGTTCCGTCCCTCCTAGCCAGAGCTGCCCCCCCCCTCCCTGCCCGCTTTAGTCCTGCTAAAATCGATTAGAGCCAAAAACTCGGTGCTCTCTTAACACAATCAGAAGTTACGATTTGGGTTTTATTCTTTGGTTTGAATTAACGACACATACGATCCCACTTTTTAAACAGATATGTGTTAGAAACTGTACATTTATGTCCTGTATATCAATATCCTATCCAAACTACCGCTCTCATACCGTGTACAACAGTTCGCCGTCGATCAGGCTGTAGACGCGGCAGACGGACGCCTCGTCCACGACGGCCAGGCGGCTGCGGGACGCGCTCACGTCTACACAACGGACGTTATTCGGAGTTTGGAGGATCATCTTTGCACCACCTATATTTGGCTGCACTTGCCATATCTGTAAAAATTAAATCCTATTAATCCTACTTCTATACTAATTAGTAATTACTAATATTATAAACAGGCAGAGTTTGTTTGTTTGAATTTTTGAACGTGCTAATCTCAGGAACTACTAATTAGATTACTTTTTATCCTGGAAAAATGTACGATTCCCGTGGGATAGATTTATTTTAGTTTGGGACGAACCCGAGCGAAGCAAGGTTCAGTAGCTAGTATGGATATAAGGATTTATGAAGGTAGACTTGACCAATCTATACTAATATAAAGATGAGAACTTGGAGATTTGTATGTACGAGTAACCTTTAAAACTGCTGATTCGATTCTAGAAAATCTTTCTCTAAATAGAAAATAATAGGATACTACATTACCGCAAAGTAATTGAGCAATAAAATGTATGGCAAAAAGACACCCATTGCGCAGCCGAGCGAAGGGTAAATTACTGGCAATAAATATAATGGAATAATATAAAGATGTTTTGTAAGGTCTTCAGTTACAACTATTTATGCTTGCAAGTACTTAAAGGCAGCTGATTACGATACAAGAGCAAAAAAAGGTACCGCACACGGTTTAGTTCTAATTAATTGTCAACGAATAACGAAACTAGTAATAACATTTCTTATTTTCTGGTGTAAAATAATAAGTTTTTCCTTACTTGTCCATTTAATAAACCTAGCAGCAAGACTTCTTCAAAATATAACGTAGTCACTTTCACGTAGCGAATCGGAGAAGGAACGGTCCAGGATTTTGGCATTGCAGCACCAATCATGGACAACTTTGTATCCTGAAATTAAATAAAGTATCAAGGGCATTATCAAATTGTAGTTAGTTGCTTAACATTTGATGCACGTTCGAAATCAGTGTTTTAATATTTTTATTACTTTATCACTTCACTTCTCCTCAGGACACAAAATAACACCAGATTTACTTACTAAAATGTATCAAATGATATATTAAAAACATTAAAAAAGACCTATACATATAAAAAATATCAAAGATATATTTTAATTATTATCTACCTAACAAGTTGCTTATTATAAATGTATTATTGTACATATATAACTTACAGGTATCCAAGTAAATGAATGTAAAATGTGAACCTTAGCTAAATATTTTTTAACATTTATATATTACAATTTACTATATATTCATTTAGCATAAATTTAACCTACTTGACACAATAATAAAGCTTCACTGGTAGTAACTAGGAGGGAGCATTCACTTTTCTGCACTAATTTCTCCTTGACTCTATACAGCATGCCATCTAAATCTCCCTGCTCATATACCACCACTCTTTCTGGTAACTGGACCTGTGGATTCATTCATAATACATAAGTCTAACAACAATATAGTATATAAATTCACATACATGAAAATTATATTTAATAGCAGTGGACTAAATAGAAATGAAAACGCGAAATGAGACTGCAGACCTTCCATTTAGTTTCTAGTATAAAAATTAAATTATTAATATTGGGTACTAATATCATCAACTAATATCGCATGTCCTAAAACAAGGTAGCGATTTAATATTTGATAATTACAAAAATATTCATTACTAGCGACTCACCCTGGCTTCCCTTAAGGTTCGTCCCTCGACAAAAACAAATTTATCCCACAGGAACCGGTTATTTTTCTGGGATAAAAAGTAACCTATTTGCTATTTTAGACTATAATCTGTCTCTCTGACAAACATACAGATCCGTTCAGCCGTTCTGGTGTGAAAGAGTAACAAACATCCATCCTTCCATCCATCCTCACAAACTTTCACTTTTATAATATTATTGTGGATTAAAATTGTTTACCGCAAGGCGATTTTTATAAATGGCGATCTTCTGCACCCTGTCGTGACATTTAATCCGGACTTTGTTTCCAGTAGTCAAGTGTTGTATGATGACGTCGGTCATGTTCTCTCTATACGCGTACCTCTCACGGTACAGGCCATGCACCGTGTTGAATGCTACTTGGTAATACCAAAGAGAACCGTCCTGACATGCCACTGCCTGAAACAGTAATGTATTGTTGAAAATAACCGTTCACTTCAATTATTATGATTTAACATATATATGTTACAGTCAGAACTCTTTCTTGGTCAAAATTTTTAGTAAGTAGATCTGGTGACTGACAAAAACAGTCAAAAGTTGTATGACTGCAGGCCTCGGTCAATAGTAGTTTTGACTGGCATATTGGTCAAAATCTCACAATTTTGGCGCCACTCGGCCGCTGCCGCGGCACACTCGCTTCGGTTGCTCGGCTCCTGCGTTGTGTTCATTGTTCGAACTAGCTTAGAAAGAAAGGGTTCTTCCCAGTAACCTTCAACCTACTTACTTCCTTAACTTTTTAAGAATTTCGACCAATATGCCAGTCAAAACTGCTATTGACCAAGAGGCCTACAGTCAAAAATACTTTTAACCATTTTTTTTTACTTTTTTAGTTTTGACTAAAAAATAGTTTTGACTGTGACTACACATACTAACACTTTGAAAATATCATATAAAATTTGGTTATTTACTCTATGTATCCATAATTAGGTAATTTCACCCAAACTTTACCAAAACAGGCAAGGCAGACAGTTCTTATAAGGCTTAGGGCTTAATTTTCATTTTACTTATGACATAAAAATATCTTTGCTGACAAAATACTTTATGTAAGCTAATGAGTTCATTGTCCTCTTTATTGTATTACGACAACGTATGTTGAGTTATAGGACCCGCTTTAATAAAAACAGTGCATACAACTTTGGGATTATAATTAAGGCTCTGCTTAGAATTGGAAGCTGTGACATTTGGCATTCAAGTTTATTTAGATAAGATTTATTTTGCTCTATGTATAAAACAATAATATTGTGAAATATATTTACAAGAGTATTCAATGTAGAGGAAGGCGCAACACACCACACCCATTCCAAGGGAGTAGAAACTATGGATACGCCTTCAGAGGTTAGGACAGCCCAACCCCCCACACCACCGACTAAAACTAGAGCACCTAATACTGATATTGACATAGCCGACATCCCTGGAAATATAAGTTGGAATATTCATCTCATCAAAAGTTAAATTAAATAGTTTTTTGATATATGTATTAATAAAATTATTTACTAGTTATTATTGTTTTTGTTATTTTTTAATTTTCTCTATTCATTAAAATTACATAATACTTCTCATATAAATTATATAAATGTTAAGTTCAACTTACCAATATTTCTATCTTTTAAAATTTGTTGGCCCTGAGTGTCATAGAAAGAAAGACTATCATTCCAATCCGTCACTAATATAGTAGATTTTGAAAAAGCCACTGCCCAAACAGCAGCATCTCTATTTATTCTTTGAACTTCATCGCCCATCTAAAAGAAAAGCAAAAAATAGCTTTAAGTATTTATTATGTACTAGAGCACTTATAAATTTGTCTTGAAAATATATTTATTTTAAATACAGCTTACTTTTATGAAAATATTTTTTACAGAAAATACAATACATCTCTTATGCAATTGACTTTACTTGTAATCTCATCATCTTTCAAGTTAAGAACAAGTCAGCAATTTCATATTTGAAAACAAAAAAATATTTTGTTACCTTATTTCGTAAAGAAACAGCTCCACTTGCTAAGCCAATAGCTAAATATTGTCCTGTAGGTGCCCAGGCACAACTAGTGATACGACCTGATACTTTGTGCTTTTGTACAGCTTTTACATCAGCTGACCAGAATGCAAAATCTGATAGAGCACAGGAAGCCAAGTGATATGTTACTGGATTGTATTCTAAACACTGTATAGATTCACTGTGTCTGTGGAAAAAAAATATTTTTATAAGAAACATTTTTAGTGATGTAAATGAAAAACTCAAAAATTTCTTATATTCTTGACCAAAACGGATATTTGTTATTACATTATAAGTATATTTATTGTTGAAATATTATATATATAATATTTAAACCAAATAATTGAAACATGAATCATTTTTATTTGTATTAAATAATTTGATGCCCATTACAGATATACACATAAGTTAAAAGTAAATCTAGAACATATTATAAAGTTTTATTGTACAATAATGACTTACGAATACTTGAGAACTCCTTCCATCTTAGATGTCCAAATAATAACATTTTTATCTGCACTTCCACTAGCAAATTTTTTTCCATCATTACAATATGCCACTGCATGTACTGGTCCTTTATGAGCTTGCAAAAGTTGCACTAGTGCTCCATCTCTAGGATCATATACCATGACCTTTTCTCCTGCTCCGACTATAAGTTGTGTGCCGTCTGGACTGAAGCATATTGTGTGAACACTAAAAAATAAAGAGCTCACTCTTTTTTATTGCATTTTATAAATATCTTCCTTATTTATATAATATATTAATAGTATCTTTTAACAGGTACTCTCTTATAAATAAATTATTTACCTTGAAAATTCAGTCTTATCCGCTTCATGAATTTTGTTTACCCACTTAGGTATGGTCCTCATTTCGGCGTCGCAATAAGTAACGTTTGTCGATCAAATTGTATTAATGGATATTAATATAGTTAACAAAAAAATATGTAACATTTTAATTAAGAAGTGTAAACAGTGGTAGTCATTACATAGTAACTATTAGCTTATTCGGTTGGCAACGGATCCTTGGAAAGTGTAAACAAAACAAATACATAAGTAATTGGATTTCTTTCGTTATACTAGAGTCTGGAATTCCATAAAAAGCAGTCTAAGATTACTATAAAATTGGTGTTTACTTAGTCTTGTCATTAATTTTTACGTTTGTAAAACTGTTTACGCATTTCAATCTAAAAAATGCCGCATTCTGTTGTGGTCGAGCATAAAATTTAAAACAATTTGAAACTTCTCTTTTTTTACAAATTTACTGCCTTGGATTCTTGTCTTTTACGGACTTTCAATAAAAAAAAATATTTTTTATTTATAAAATAATATAAATATATTATTTAATACTCTTCTAAATTGAAAATATATTCTCACAGCATTACTGGTGTAAATGAATAAACTAGAAAATTATATAATATATTCCAATTCTAGAAATCATTAAGTCCATGCTTATAATTTTGTAATAATTTACATTAATGAAACACTTTTCTTCGGCATCGACTGACATATTTTTTAATGCGTGGAAGTCATTAAGAAATAATACTTTATTGGTAAAGTGGTCCTATGCCATAAAACATATTGGACAGCGCTAATTCGGGCAATAATTCTGAAACCCGGACACCAAGACACGCGGCAGCGTGTCCAGCCAAATTCTAATTCATAATATTGAACATAAACTCATGAAATTTGGTTCGTATATTTAATTCCCTTAGATTAACTAGAATCCCCAATTTCATAAATGCAGCGTAAACGGTTATTGAGATATTAACGTCTAAAAATCGGCATTTTTATCACTGGCTGACTGATATAAAGTAGTTAAAACCTAGTCCTCTTCCAGATGACCTAGAAAGTTGAAATTTGGTGTCCAGATGGGTAATCGTGTGCAAACATAGGGAAAAATCCAAAAACTAAATTTATTAAATTTGAAAAAAATTAACACCTTGCCGCTTCCAAAACGTACTAGCAATGCTTAACACCTAGTGCCTTTTGAAATATAATAGCAATATCAATCTTAGTAATAGCAAAAACTTTTTCTTTCTCAGGAAAAAGGTTCCATGAAGATAACATTTTTCTATTCCGCGCGATATAATAGTCGCAAAATTATGAACAAAAAAAGATTGAATTTACATTTCACTTTGGAGTTATGAATAATAATAGTTTCTTTACAAAAAGTCATGATATCCCATCAAAAACATAAATGTGAAAATGGGAGCCAAGTTCAATATTAAGAATATGCGCGGTTGTCAACTTTACTGACAAAAGAATTGAGATCTAAATGAGGTCAAGATCTGTAAATAATCCTGATTTATTTCATAAGAACATACAACATTCTATAACAAAATTTAAAACACAATTTCTTGTTATTTTCTGCTACAAAAGTGTTTGTTATTCAAAAGTAGAACTTTTTAAATTTTAACAGTCGAATTATTTACACAGAATAGATTAACTTACGATACATTGAAGTTCAAAATTTGATTTTTTTACGAGAGCATTACTTAGTTTTCATTACTTTACTATTCATTTTACTTAGAATATTTTTTTAAACCATGGTTAATGTACCTTTTTGGGATCCATTTATTATTATTTTACACAAACTTCAATAACAAATCGATACATATTATGCCATCTATTGATTTGATTGCACTTTTTTTGTGTTCCTGATGAGACCCCATGATGTCAGTTTAGATTTCTTCGTTTAACATTCGGATAAATGCCATCTGTAGTTCATTCTGACACAAAATAACCTGAAAAATAGGTCACATTAGTTTGTTTAATTTATTTGTATGTGATGTGCTCTCTGTAGAACAATACCTAAATGTATTCAAGGAAAATGTAATAATAAGTTTCTAAGGCGCAGGTTCACCCTGGTCTTGATATTGTGACAGCCAGTGATGAAAAATATGTAGCTTTACGTGGACTAATACGTATGTGAATTACGAATATATATAGGTAAAAATATCTCAAATAATACGAGTTTTGAGATGTACCTACCTAACTCTAATTTTTGTAATAATTGGACTCGGACGGACTGCCTCGGTGGTGTAGTGGCTAGCATGTACGACTGCACACCTGGAGGTCCCGGGTTCGAGTCCCGGGTCGGGCCAAGTTTAGTTATTGAGTCTTCCGTTGTTGTTCCCAATAAAAACATTATTATTATTATTATTTATGTATATTAAGTCTCAGTAGCAGCCCGGAGTTGGGAAGTTGGCGGTGGTTTCACCCGAGAGCACGTAAAGCAGTCGGTCCTGCTCCTTAACTCTCACTGGGCGTGTCGAGTGGTCGTCCCACCAGATTATGAGAGTGACAGGAATAGAGAGTGCACTTATGTCTGCGCGTACACTTGGGCACTATAATATCTCCTGCGCAGTTGGCTAGTCACAATGAGATTGGCCGCCTTGGCCGGAATCGGTCAGGAGAACATCAATAATTGAACTATCATTCACTATGACGAATAGATACCTACTTATATACTGAATATATTTTGTATTCTTACTAGCGACTTACCATCGCTTAACTCGGTTTTCAAAAGTAGGATACCAACTAATATATGTTATTACTAGCATTGCCCGCGGCTCCGCCCGCGTTCAGGTGACCAAAAACCTTTTTAGGTTTTACATATTAGTATACTCTTACATTCCAGTTTTTGTATTTTTTCTCAAAAATGTTTATTTCAATAAGATTTTCCGAAAAAGTATCGAATGTACAGATTCGGCTTAGTTACAATTTTATTTTATGTATAGATAATTTCTGACACTAAACACATTTTATCGCAATAAAAAATAGGCTAGCCTATTGCACACGGCGGTAATGTAGTTTCCTAAATTAGTAAAAAAAATTCAAAATCGGATAATTAGTTTCAGAAGCTAGTAGGTTTTTAGATGACTCAACCTTTCAATTAGGTTTTGATTTACGTTCGTATTTTCACATTTAACACATGTTTAAGTTAATTCGTACAATAATATAATAACAAAATTCGGACAAGTGCGAGTCTGACTCGCATACCGGTCACTTTGATTCATTTGTTTTTCCGCGCTTTTGCACAGAGATGTCGGTACCACCCTGTAGGTCACTACGAGTTGTTTGTAATACTGAAAATTATGATTATAAATTATGTAACTCACTGACGATTATAAAAGTACTGAATATAAGAATATAAGCAAGGAATATCTCGAAGTTTTATTAGGGACCCTACATTACTAAACAGACGAATTTCCCGACGCGCGTATTTAAGACCTTAGAGCTTTAAAATTAGGATCAACACGGTCTGATTTGACATACATAGATCTCAAATGGTGGTGATCTTATTTGCACATTGTTTTGCTAGATCCTCGTTATGAATTACTTATTGAAGAAATACATACTGAAAGTGTCCGTACGTTATTTTCGTGGCTTATTACGAATCGTCATGCTTAAAAATCGACCACTTTCCACCTTTCAACACCTGTTCAACAGACTTGGTCTTTAAAGAGCGTACCGATGCAAATAACTCTATCGACCAAAGAATATGATTAGCCTCTTAGTCTAGCGTTATGACGTTATTATGAGAAAATATAATCTGGGTTGTTTAAAATCCATGTTAAAGGTTGAGGGATAATCGATTGTGAATATGGCCATCTGTGTAAAAACACGAAGAATTAAATAATTGATTTATTATTTGTATCACCTCACTAAGGTTGATTATTTTTCATTATTCGAAGGTTTATTTACCGAAAAGCCTGAACTACTTTTATGAAAATAAAGTATTTCCGGTTTGGTTACAATAACTTTTTAGGATAACATTTATTGAACTTTTAACCGCAATAAGCAATTCATATAATTCAAATGTATTAACAGTAGATCTAGATACAAACTTACCTACTACGTGACGGATAATTTTTCAATCATCAATAAAATTACAACATTGTGGCTATTTTATTTCATAACTTAAATAATATTTAATTTACTTTGTTTTAAAATATTTTTTTGGTTTCCTTTGATGCTTTATTATTATTTATTTCCCATTCGCTTCTATTGTACTATTTACTTAAAATCAAATTCTTACAACCCATTCCAATAAATAGGTATATAGAGTCTGCCAAAACAAATAAGTTCTAAATACTACGAGTCTTCTTCTTCTTCTCCCTGCCCATTTCCCAATTACTTGGGGTCGGCGCAGTACATCTTCTGTACTGCTGATAGGATTTGGCAAACGTTTTACAACCGGCTGCCTGCCTGACGTCAACCCTAATAGTATAATAATATTATAAATAACTAAAATAAATACTATACTAACTTAAATTTATAGTGATTAATTATAATATATATAGGTATTGTCAAGAAAATTGATTAGATCTGTTAACATGCTTCCTTTTGCTCTTTACATAGCGAAGCGAGGGTGAACTGCTAGTCTTTTTACTACTTATAATAAAACTAGAGGTCGAATTTGTGTACATAAAAAAAGTTAAAACCCGCGTCAGGGGGATGTAAGAAGAGAAATAGAACAAATCCAGTTTTTTTTATTTTTTGTTTCTTTGTTTGTCCGGTTAATCTCCGAATCTATAGGACCGATTTAAATGAAATTTTGCATGGTGGTACCTTATATCCCCGGTCAACATCTTGAATACTTTTCATTTCGAAAAATTAAAGAGTTCCCTTGGGATCGTTTAAAAACTATATTAACTAATACAGCTTAGTACACAAAACTACTGATTGGATTTTAATGAAACCTTACAATAATATAGTTCATACATCAGAATAACAAATAGGCTACTTTTTATCCCGGAAAAATGTACTGTACCCGTGGTATAGATTTGTGTTTGTTTGTCTAGAGGCGAACCCGAGTGAAGTGAGGGTGTGCCGCTAGTATTGCATATATAAATTTAAAAGAAATT